CCCTGGGGTTTTATTGCCTGGTACCTCGTGGTTATCTTCTTGAGTAAATGTTACTGTATGTTGTTTTCTGCAGGCATCAGTGAGTATGCTCTTCACTGCTGTCACCACAGATAAGGTGGATGGGAAAGATCCCAGCTCTGATAGCAGACTTCCCTTCAGGCATTTTCCTCCTTGAATATGTCCTTAATGATATGCTCCAGGTGTCTCAAATACAAAAATTAAATTTCTGTGAAGCAAGTTCTCATCTTAAGCAAGACTTCATTTACCTGGAGCTTCATATGTCTTTGCTGAAGGCATGTTTTGTTTTGTTTTTCTTGTAAATGGCTGAATAATTAACATCCCAATCTTGGCTTGTCACAGGTACAGTGAGTGAAGAGATGGCTTTGGTAATCACTCAGCAAAGGCTTTTTGAATCAGGCTGCAGTGGCAAGAGTGTGAATTAAGTCAGTAATGTTTTACTACTGTGTTGTGTGTATCTGTTCCTTTTAAGGTGCTTTCCCCAGTACACCCCTCCCCTGCCCACACATGAATTTCAAACACTGGCAATATCCCGAACATCTGTAACACGGCTGCCTGGAACTCCTTGCATCCTCCCAAAGTTTTTATGCAATTATGTAATTTTGGGGGCTTCCAGAAAATGCTTTCAGTTTATTTAAAAAAAAATTCTTTAATGCCTAATTTCATATTAAGGGGCAGCTATCTTAAAGCTTCTCACAGGGTCATGTGTGACATGGACAATAATTTGGACTAGAAAAAGACATGTAACCCATCAAGTTACCAAATGTGCAGACCTCAGTGTAGTGCAGTGTAGTCTCTTTTCTGCCTAGTTGTTTATAGAGTGTGGTGGCTGAACGGAATGATAGAAGCATGACTGTGAAAGGTCATCTAGTTCCAACAATCCTGCCATGAGCAGGAACACTTTTCACTGGATCAGGGTGCTCAAAGCCCCATCCAACCTGGCCTTGAATAATTCAGGGATGGGGCATCCACAACCCATGTGGGTAACCTGTCCCAGTGCCTCACCAACCTCACAGTAAAGAATTTCTTCCTAATATCTAATTAGGAAATATGGATGCTAAATCTGAGCCAGAGTGCCTGTAGTTATTGCAGGCCACATAGCTCTCAGGCCTGACTGAAGCCTAGCCTGGGAAATTCATGAGAAGGAATTAAAACAATTCTCAGAGATACTAAAACAGCCTTGCAGGTGTTGTTTTGCAACCTGTTGTTTCTCCTTGCAAGAGACAGTCAAGGGGGGCAGAGTGCCCCTGACCAATGATGGTGGTGTAGTACTTTGTTAACCAATAAGAGTTTCCTTTCTGTACTTTTCCACGTATCTGTCTATAAGACAGGGCTGAAGCAATAAACTGGGAATTCTCCTGTCGTGACTCCCTTGAGAGTCCATGGTCGTTCCTTTCTAGCCGTTCCCAATCGGAGCGACAAGGAAATCTACTACTTCTCCCTTGTCATGCATATCATTTGGATATTTTGGTCTGAAACCAAATCTCAGCACTCCTGTGAATAAAGCGCTTGTTTGCAAATGACTTTATGATGACTTTCTTACCCTTCAAAATAGCACCTCAGAAACCTCTTTAATCAACAGCAAATTTACCTGATAGTACCTAATGGTGCAAATACACCACATGGCCAGGGTTAGCATTCAGTATGTATTGAAATATTTGTAGTTGGTTAAGTTGAAACCACCTTACAGCTAAGTTCTGGTCTTCCTCCTTTGAAGGATACCGTGCAGTGTGGTGTATTATTCCCCTCTGTCTTTTTGGCCACTTCTTGTTTTTTGTGGACTGTTAAGGGTTGTGTACTTTCATGCTCTTAAGTGTGTTTATTTCTTGGTTTTTTTGATGGATGCAAACCAAGAGGGAAAAAGAACCACTGGCACCACCTAATTCCTGTGTCTGGAAAGAAAAATTAGGTTCCAAAAATAGTGACATGGGGTGAAACTGCATCTTTATGACTCTGTATTTCCTGGACCATTGTGAGCTTGTTTCACGGCCTTAAAGTAAATTAAATGGATCTTATTTGCTATTTAAGTTGTATTTTTAATAAAGGGGAAGTTTTAGGAGGTCGTTAAAATACTGCTTTGTACTCAGGAAGTAAAGTGTTTTGGCTTCTTAATTAAATATGATGTTTGGTTATTTATGTAATGAAAAGATGGCAGCTGCTATTTGTCAGATAGTCAGAAAGGACTCAGAAGGAAAAGGTTCAGTCCCCAAAATACTGGTTAATGTGTATATATCCTCTTGGATAGTGGCCCATTGTAATGGGTCTGAAAGCTTGGGTTAACTGTCTTAGGCCAGGTCTTCATCTATCACACTGTGTTGTGTTTCCTATTATGAATTGCACCCATGTCTTCTCCCTATATTCCAAATCTCTGCAGAAGTTCAAGGATGATAGTACTAATAGTATTGATTTGAGGAGCAATTTCTAGGTCACAGATAAGTAACACTGCCTGATGTTGTCTGAGAGTAGACTAAATCCTTGTAAAACAGGGAGTTAGGATGTGTTTAAATTTATTGTTATAAAACAATATATAATTGTTTTAGCCAAAACCATGGGTTCTTGCAAGTTAATGCGCATGTGAGGAGAAACCAAGACACTTTTTTTTGATGTTCAGCTGCTAATTTATAAGTCGTGTACCAAGTTTTTCCTGCCTGAGTGCCAGCAGAATCAGACAGACAAATAATTTCTTTGCTAATATTTCAGTTACTATCATTCAATACTTAGCCCAACAGTTCTTTCTCTGGAAGTTTTAGACATTTTCTGGAACTTAATTTTCTATTTATTTCTACTTGTTATTTTCTTCCACAGGAGTACATATGCATGCCTGTTCAAAGCAACTTACCAGCAGGCATTTGAATTCCTTCCTAGATTCTCCTAAACCTTTAATTTTGAGCACCATTTATAAGCCTGTGGTTGGTTTTAGACTTTCTTTGCACGATACCTGTGTTTCTGTAAAAGTTTCAACACAGAATATAATGCCAAACATGAATGACATTTGAAACAATCCTATTATCAGTGTCCTTTTTTTTTTTTTTAATATGAGTATTCATTGCTAACCAAAAGTTTCCTGCACACAAGAACTTCTGTTCTGTGGACTTCAGGTTCTCGAGGACCTTTTCATATTTCCATTCAGATGAACCAGCTTTGAGTCAACCTTGGAAGCAATAAGGGTGAGGGCAGAAGTCTGTCTTTGTATATGAGTAATTATTCAGTGCTTTCAAAAGTATCAGAAAGATTGTTTCTTAGTTTTATAAAAGCAGTTGAAGTCAAAACTGAGACACTGATTTGCTAATAAAATGTCTTTTTGTGCCTCTTCTTGATGATGTTTTCTAGTCAGTTGACCCAGCCCAGCAGCTACACACCCACCAATTGCTTGCTTCCTTCTCCTCAGAGGGACAGGGAGACAACTGGAAGAGCAAAACCACGAAAATTGAAAAAAGAATGAGCTGAGATGAAGAGAATTTAATAACTGAAGGGAGGAGAAAAAAGAATAAAAATTGATGCAAAGACAGTCATTCACCACTGCTCAGTCAGCATCCAAGCAATAGAAAACATACTGAAGAGACAGTACATATACTGAAGCTCCAAATGACTGTACTGGGATGTTAGGAAGGATACCTCACCTTCCTGGTAGTAGTACGTGTGAATAATGAGAGCTGAGATTCTCAGGCTGAGATATGGTGATTGATGTAATTTGATACTTTATTAGTACTGCTGTACTGTTGAGCTTTAAATTTTATCTCTGTGGTACTTTGGAGGAAGGGTATTGGGACAGGATTCTATTGCCAAAGTCGAAAGGGTGAAATGGAGAGGGATTTGCTTTTAGACCATTAATATAAAAACCAGATGTGATAGGTAGAAAGACAAATGTGTTTTGCTATTTGAGTGTTGAGTCATTACAATATTTTAGGTACATTTCAGACTAGTTTCTTTGTGGTTGGCATTCATGCCATGGAATATTTTCAGCTTTCATGAAAAGAAAAACTTGTTGATTAAAAGTTGACTTCCTGTGGGCATCCAAGTTATGTTAGTGGGCCACCTGAAGTATGTGTTTTGCTTTTGTAAAACATAATTTAGGAGTGTCAATACTTAAAATGTCAGTGATTAAATTAAGAGGCTGAGTGCATGACTTGAACATATGTGATCTCTGCTTAAAAATCAAGATTAGGACATTTATGTATCTACTCCTGTTTATGTTTTTTTTTGGTAATCTGACTTTTAATATTGATATTTTGAAAATATTTGCCAGTTTTCAGAGACTTTGAGAGAGCAGGGTGCTGTGTTTCTATTAAACTGTTTTGCTCAGTAAAATAATTTGCAAAGTAAAATAACTGACAGTGATTTCTGCTTTGCTAAAATATTTTGTCCTGGGATCTCAAAATTCTTTATAAATGCTGATGAATAAAACCTCTTTTCACTTCTGCAAAGCACATGGTGTTATTCACATTTATTATATGGAATGGAGCCCAGATGTATTAACTTACAGTCCTTTTCCATAAGCAGCAAATTATCTCCTCCCCTCTGTTTTTATGTGAATTGTCTCTGCTTTCCGCCCCTTCACTTCATGAGACATTTAAGTGCAGAGTTTAGTGATTTACTGTTGATATCTTTTCTAACATTTTATTCTAAGTGCAACAGCCCTGCAGGTTATGAGTTGTGAAATGACAGAAAACAGGAACAAGCTGTTTTAAAGTCAAAAGAATTACAATAAAGAAAATAATTAAATGAATGGTGTCAGAAAGACCTGGTTTTGCTGTTAAGCTGTCACTGGCTTGACTCAGTAGCTTTGTATTGACAAATTTGTGGTTGCTACCTTTAAAAAAACCATAAAGTCAAACACAACTGTATTCTATCCCTCTTGAACTTGCAGTTAACATGAAGACCTGCCCTTTTTGGTTTTCTTTAATATCTCATTTCTGTTGCAACACCTAATGGTGTTGTCATTACTGTGTCTGGTACCATTGTAGCATTTGTAGCATTGTTTCAAAACTGCTGACTCCATAGGTTTGAATAAGCTCAGCACTTCCATGATGTCCTTTAAAGCTGTAAGCAGAAGACAGATATCTGTTTGTGCAATTGTTCTTACTGTGTGCTAAAGACATTTACAAAAAAGTACAGCAGAGATTAAGGTCACTGCTGTACTCCAGATCTTCTTGTGGGAAGGTCTTTTATTGGTGATGCTGTGCTGAGTGTCTACTTGTCTCAAGTTGGGAACAATGCAGATATTTTGGGAGATTCATCCTTGATCTGCAGAAAAAACACATGTATACACAGATATAATTGAATTATTTAATCTCTATGTAGTGCCTCACTTCTCTAATGAAATTGTTTAGCATAGATTTTAAAATGGTAGCTTGGAAGCCCTTAGCACTGGGGTTTTGGAAGAAGTGAATCATCAAGCAGTAATCTCATTACATCCTGCTAGAGTACTCTTGAGATACCTCAGCTAGCTTAAACTGACACCAGAAAGGAAATAAGGGCTTTCTTTCTCAGATGCATAGGCTTGTTTCTTCTTCCAAGGAATGGATTTTAAATTTTGTTAAATGAGCATATGCAAACCTGGAGTGAAGAATTACCTCTGCAAAACATTTGTTAAATGTAATACTACTATAAAAAAGCCTTCCTTTCTCTGTATCACTGTGAAGCAGAATAAAAAAAACGTGTAGAATGAGGAAAACATACGCCTTTTTATGCCTTTTTTATCTTTTTTCTTTTTTCTTTCCCTCCCTCTCTGCCTAATCTCCTTATAACTGAATGACTGCAAGTGCTGGTCAGGGAGTTTTTGTGCAGAAAGGATGAGTGAAGGGCCAAAAGGTAAGGAAGGAGCTAAAAAGCAAAACTTTTGTGTAAGGACAACATTGGATAAAAGAGAGGCCACTTACTAGTGAATTTGTTCTAGAAATCAGTCTATAAGCCAAGATTATCTTCAAGATTTTCGAACTTGGTTGCTCTGAGAACAGCAACTCCATGGTAGTAAAATTAATGTGTTGTCAGCAGTTCTGTGCATCCCCAAGTCTCACTGGTATGAATAGAAGCCCTGAGGGTTAGGACTCTTACCTAAATACTCATGTGAGAATGATGAGCTTTTACATTTTCATGGTGGTATCAGCATGACTGCTATAGAGCACTGCTAAGTGAGTGCTACTATAACAGGATAATTTTGAAATAAGTCGGAGGGAGTGAGAATTTGTTTAGTAACTTTTAATTTCTAGCGGAAAAGCCTCTATAATTTTTTTTCTCAAGAAGAGTTGGAAGAAGAGAAATGCTATATCAGAGAAACTGGTAGTTTTCTGATGGAAGCTATTTTAACTTTATCTGCACGGCATCAGTTGATGGATCATTCTGTCCAAAGTTTCCTGATAGTTCTTGGACGTATTTAAAGATAAACCATGCTACTAATGTTGCATAAACAAGCCTCTTGAGTTTTGCTGATGCCTTTTCTGGGGAAAAAAAAAATGTGCCTAAGATACTTGGTGATGAAAATATTTTAAAAACATTGGCTGTATTTAAAGGAAGGCCTTACATTTTAAGTGGACTCTCTAACTACTCCTTCCTTTCTTAGCATATTAATAATAGTGTGATGGTGACAGCACTGAGACTCTTTTGTAAATTATAAATTATGTAGCTGATTGTGTGTATATTTTGCCTGTTTCAGAATAAACCTGCCCATCAACAATTTAAGCATGGACTTTTCTCACCCTGACAGTGTTCATGGTCCTTATCTTCTTGGATTTGCATGGGTGACCTAAGGGCAGCCAATTCTTCACACTCCTCTTATCTCAACTTCCTTAATTCAAGATTCAAATTCTAATTCATGACTTTTTGCAGTGTGCTCCAATTTGTTTGGTTAACAGTAACAAACTAAAACCTGTTCTAACTCTCCACTTTGTTTTTAAAATATCCAGTTGTTTCTTATACAGATGTTCTTATCTCTGAGGATTCGTTTTGGTTGTGTCATAAGAAGAATTAAGATTTCCTTGTCTTGGGCTATGTGACTGTTCAAAGCAGCTTTCAACAGATGAACAGCAGTTCATTTTCACTGCGGGTCAGTTGGTCAGACCTTTAGCATTTAATAGCAAGGTTTGTCCCTCCTGTTGTGAACTATGCCAATCAAGCATGGGCAGAACATATGAGGCTACTACTCCTGGGGATCTTAAGTTGCTGGGATATGTTGTGTTTGTAAATTGCTGAGTTCCTGATGAGGAAAGGCTGTTCTAGAGAGAAATGAATCTCTGCAGACTTTCACTTCTTTTATGCTAATAGGCATAAGGCACTAGAAAATCTGATCTAAGGAGGATTAGATTGTAACAGTTCTGATGATTACAGCCAAGCTATGAATGCAGGTTTGGACTTAGCTCCAAGGAAATTGTGTATCCTTACAGAAACAAAAATTTATCTAATTGTCAGTAAGCTTGAGTAAGAGCATGGCCAAAGAACAGGTATGGTCAATGTACTAAATTCTCAGTGGTAGGACATTTGAAATCTGAGTGTCTGATGAACAACTTTTGCTTTAAAATAAACAATGGACAGTAAATTTAATAATTAATGCGATCTAGAAAGCAGACAATAACCCATGCACTTCCATGCACTCACCCTCTATCTAATTAGTCTGAAACAATGAGGTGGAACTAACTGGAAAAATGATTCAGGCCTCAAACAAATGTACCTTCCTAAAAAGTTAAGAAATTCTTACAGGCAAGTTGGTTTCCCTTCCTGTTTTTGAAAGATGGGGTAGAGGTTGCAAGCAATGAGAAATTGAAATAACAAAGTTTAGCCTCTGAAATAATCAGTAGAAACTTGCTGAAATAGCAGCCTTTATGAAGATGTTTTATATAATATGATTATGCAGTGTATTCCAATACAATTAATTACCTCAAGTTTTGCTAAAATTATCTTAACTGTGCTCCATCCACTATAGGCGCAAATCCATCCACAGTTGGTACTAAATGAGGGGAAGAGTATTTCTCCTGAGATCAGAAAGCAGACTGCAGCTGTTGTGTATGCTGTGTATGTGGGCAAAGCTAAATAACTGCCCTCCTCCTCACACATTCAGAGGAAATAAGGCAAGTCAGAGGAAAGCAGTTTTCCAGTAACCTACCCTTGATTGTACTTCTTTTGATGGTTAGCTTTATTATTTACGCTTTTTTTTTTGGTACTAAGTCCAATTAAAACAATTGGACTCTAAACAGGCTTCTGTCTTTAGAAATGTACTTGTAACAGGTAGCATATGGAAGCACAGCCTGTTAACAGCTGCAAATTTTGTCGATTAAACTAGGTGCAGACAAATTTACAAGAGAAACTGTTTTGTGAAAAATTCCAGTTCACTTGTATACAAAGGTATCTTGACTATTTTCTTATTGGTTTCCACAGCTTCTTGCCAAGAATAATACAAAGTTTCTTACAAAGTGTTGACACTGAAGGTTCTAAAAGCTAAATGTTTTAGCAATTGTTTTGAGTAGTCTTGATTCTCTGTAAACAAACATGTCTGTCTATGCTGACACCTGGAGATACCCTTAGCAGTTTTACACCACATTCTTTTCAAGCAACCTTTCAGATCCTGTGTGGCCACAGCAAAGTTTGTTTGTGACATCTGCTTAGATGCGCTAAAAGGTAATGCAAATTACAGGACTCTGGTACCTAATGCTTCTCACAGAGTTCAGTGAATTTACGGATTATATTTGTAACTTGTTTTGACAGGAATACCATATAAGTCCTGACCAAGCAAGACTTTAAATTTTGAAAGTTAAAGGTGTTTTATCTTACATTCTCAAAGCACATTGCAAATAAATGTTCCTCTAAAAATCTGTTTAATATAAAAGAATTAATATACAGCTAGGTAAGTAAAGCATGGAAAGCATAAAGTTCTGCTTCAAAGATTACTTAAGTGAGTCAGTGGCAGACCCAGCACTGATGACATAGTTGGGAATGTCAGAAGAATTTGATCTCAGGTTAGCAGTGAGACCAAATGCAGTATGAAGTGATAGTGGCATATGCAATGTTTAAAACAAGACCAACATTTTCACTTTTGCCTAAGTGTCTCTAATCATCTGTCATTATTTGGTTTTTGGTTAAAATACTAATACATAATGCTTTACTGAATTCCTGTAGGAGCTTTAATCTTCTTTAATGTCCTGAAGTGTGTTTGCAATGCTCATGAGCGGGTAAATGTAATTTCAGTAATTGCTGCTTTGAGCTGATAAATCAGTTTGCAGGAAGAGTATCTGTTGAAGTACAGTGGTACAAGTGGAAACAAAAATTTTTATAGATTGAAGTTTCTAATTCTTGGGTTGGGATTATATACATAGGAACTGAAAAAATTTCATACTATCAAGAATTTACTGAAGAATGTGGTACTAATTATGTAACTATGTCCATACATATGAGGAACAAGCCTATGGTGGGAGCAAGTTAGTAAAATTCAGAGGTAAATGTCAAAAAAATTTAGTTCTTACATAAATATTCTTTTTTGTGAATTATGGATGGAATTTTTGTTATTTGGTGTGTATTACATGAAGTGTGCTTTACAAGGAGCACATTATTTCTTTTTCTGCTTGTGTTTTTTGCCTAATATGTTTCAGCAGATATATATATACACACACATATACATATTTTCCTTTTTTTCCAAGACAGTTACTTTAGATAGCAAAAAGGCTGATTTTTTTTTTTTTTCTGGTTGGTTGATTGTTTTTTGTTTGTTTGTTTTTAAGTGGAGGATAATCTAACTACTGCAAACTGTGTTTGTTGCATAACAGATTTTTAAAAGAGGAAAAATTAAATACTAGAGAGCACTGTGGATAAGCCATGAAAAGAGCTTCCAGACTTAAAGAGGTATTCTGGCTGCTGGTTAAGAAATACTGGGTTTTTTTCACCTGAAAGGCAGCTATTCCTATCTAGACCATGAGTTCAAATGAATAAGAATAATCCATAAATATTAGTCATCTTCCTATAACCCATGCGAAAACAAATACAGAACTGTGTTTAAAAATATGAAGATGATATTGAGGGCAGTAGGACTGAAAGTCAAGAATTAGAGAACTGAGGATTAAATTTTTCTATGCAATCTTTTTTCTTTTGGAATTAGGAGAAAATCTGATCTCACTTTGTATTTTACATGTTGTCTCTGCCTCAATCTGTTTGGGGAATAAATCCATTTGCAGCAAAGGAAGCTGTTTTTGGATTATTGCATCACTGGTGTTGCAAAAGTTGATGTTTCCAAAGTGAATAAGACCTAATCAAGACAGCTGAAT